GCGTAAATTTGTTAACATTGGAATTAGCATTATTCTCATCTTTAACACTGAAAATGCTCAATTCTGCTATTTTCGTGGTGAAACACGCTTATAATTTGTCTRTGGTGAAACTGGACCATCTCTGCCGAGTACCCCTTCGAAAAGTTACGATATTTGAAACGTGAACCTTCTCTATGATAGACGTTCTCTGATTGCGAAGTAAGATATTTCAGATGTTTTATTTTTAATTCATTTATAAATATTATTAAGACAAGTAGAGAAGGGAAATGACGAAAATTATTATGTATTAAAACAAATGTTTATACCATAAGAAGAATTAGAAAATGTGAAAAATATATTTATTCGATTTTGAAATTATACAACAGATGTACGCATTGCAAATAAAAATTATTCATATATTGAGAAATTTTATTGATTATAAGAATATACAAAAACAAAATATAAAGACTAAAATGATATTATTAATGTATATATTTACAAACTAAACCATATAAAAATACTAAGTTAGGGCTAAGATAGAGAGTGGTGAACATATATACTCTCGTAATTTGTAAGAAGTATTTGTACCAAGTATTCATATTTATGTTGATGCCTGTACTGAAATATGAAAATTGCATTACTTTGGAACTCGTCGTGGTTTAGCAGTCCACTTTTCCTAATTTTTAGCTTTGAATGATAAGAATGTTCATAAAATGTATGATATTAGATACATATATACATACGTAAAGGCTGATAAGCGGTATTTGGTATGGGCATGGCAATTTGGCGATTTAGGGATATTCCATCCAATCACAATATAACTTCCTCTGAATGTCAGGCATCACGGTGAAGTTAACGTTGCAGGGGCAGATGGATGAGCTGACGGAAATTAGTGTAAGTATTGGTATAAAAATATTAACTAGGTTGATAGCACAATAACGCCAAATTAAATGAAATGGAAAATATCTACAGAGTGCGCCAGCTTGTGTATGGAATCAAAATTAAACATAGTAGGAATATAAATTGAGCTGAAATTAAAAGCTGCATTATATAAGAAGCAAAGGAGTTTTTGTTGAACAAGAAAATTAAGCACCGCAGCCAAATAAGAGGAAAGTGTCAGGTAATGGAAAGAAGGAAGCAATAATTTGCGGAAGAAAAAAAGTGGTGAGCACATTAGCTTTACCTTGCCAAATATTAGGCTTATATGCATAAAATATGTAAATTATATTTAAAACAAATCCATTATTATTATTTCGACACTCTCGCAGTTACACAGGAATTTGTTTCTACAGGTGTATATTCGAGTATATGGATAGTAGTTACTTATATAGCATTCAAATGCTTTGTTAGATACAGGTATATGCTTAATTATAGTTTTGTACAAATCATAATTAATCGCCATCAGAAGATACTTTTAATCGTTTGTTTATCGTTTGTCATCACAGTCAATAATTGCGGTTTATAATTAAAAATCTAATATTCTATTCGACTTATAAACAAAATAAAATTTAATAAAATAATGTGCATATATGCGTACTTATTCAAATAAAAACGTACTGACAGTGTAAAACAATGAAAGAATAAAGTTCCTGGGGTATTTTTCATAAAAAATTTAGCGCATTTTCATTGTAAAAAACTCAATGAAAAAATCAAAACTAAATTAATAGCAAAAATATATGTAATTCTGTCAACTAAATTTTAAGAATAAGTAAAAAATATATATGTGATTGAAAAATGTATTAACAAAACAATATGTAGAAATATTATTATTTACAAAATAATTTAAGAATGAATAGAAATTATATGCAAATAAGGATGAACTAAAATAAGACTGTTTCCTCTGTGAATCATGATGGGAAATTTTAAAAATTACTTTAAAAACATTATTAGTTAACTGGATTTGAATAAAAACTAACTACAATTGTAGTGTGTTTCACGCACTCCCTTCCACAACTTTTTCCGTCGTTTCCGAGAAGTTGGATAGTGGCGCATTCGTGCTCATGTCCTCCATATTCGACTCTGTATTCGAGGACAAAACTGGCATGAAATCTAATGGTATATTAGAATTTGAAAGACTTTCTTGGTCCATAGTTTCATGCTCATTTACGCTTGGCTTATAAACTGGATGTATATCCGAGTCTATCACAGATAAATCTTGATGCGAGTTCGTGTTGACGGTTGGCACCGTTGGTAGCGTTGTCAGTATTGGCAGTGTTGGTTTTATAGACGGCACTGTGGCTGTTGCCGGCAAGAGTTGCGGCAAAAGTGAAGCATAAGTCGAATATACGTTCTGTCCATGAGGATGTAAGCGTCCATTTATAGGCTGACCTGCGCTGCCAATTGTGTTTGAATTTAAATTCGTATTCGAAATTGTATGGAAATTTCGATTTGTGCCGGAGCGTGTGTTTCCGCTTCTTTTTAGTTGTTGATTTTCCAATTCTTGCTGTTCGCGCAAAAGTTTCTGCTGTTGCCGATGTTGTCGTTGATGTAATACTTGTAAATGTTGTTGGTGTAGATGTGTACTAAACTGTTGTATGTTCGCATTAATTTGTAGCGTTTGCTTTTGCTTGTAATTCTCCACGCGTCTAATATTCCTTACGAGGCGATTGTACACTAGTGACTTGACATCGATCGCCCATAAAAAGTCCAAATGATTGAACTTCTCCATGGGCACCAAGTATTTGTCAATCACATCGGGCAACTCGCGTGCCAAACGATCGACACCTGTCGTCGATACCAACATATCGTTCATCGAATAGTAAAGAGCCACCGGCACCTTCACCTTGGACAGATCATAATCGGGCGGTGTCATACGATTGTATTGAAGTTGATTGCGCAAAAAGCCACGATCGAATTGGCGAAAATTCCCCGATTTCATTAGCTGCCCGAAATGTTCGAGTTGTTTAATTGATGCCCCTGAAGGTGTATGACTCAACATGACTGGTAACATTGTCTGAAAAAAAAAACAACATAAAATGTAATACGGAAATCAGAATACATACTTATTTATGTGGTTTCGTCTATATATCACAATACCTAAGCTCAGGTGATAGCCGCGCAAACTCGGATTTGACGGTATCGTTTGAAACTCCGAAATGTTATATATCAACAGTTTTCAAATAGGACAATATAAAATTGTAAAAAATCGGACCACAACACTGTTACTGTGAATAGTTTTCATATAAAACAAGGTTGAAATCGGTCCATACCCATTTTTTCGATACTAAATATCGAAAATTAGAACTTTTCCCATCCGGTTGATTTTAATTGTAATATATATACTACTGTGATCGAATTGAAAGGTGTGTGTGTCCATTTCATCTCCTTCAAAGTAATTCCCTCCCACTGCCATACACTTATAACAACGAATTTCCCAGTCATCATAGCTTTTCTCCCGTCGTGATGGCCATCTTCGATTCAGCTTTTATATTCTCACTTGAGTTAAAACGGTGTCATCGGGGTGGTCATGCGAATTTGCTGAATAGCCAGAAGTTACAAGAAGGTAAATCAGTCGGATGCGGTGGTTGCGGCACTTCTTACCGATTCGAAAAACACGCGAAATGTAATTTAAAAATTAACTTTTCGATTTGATCACAGTAGTAAATATTAATATGGAAGTCATGGCATTACAATATATAAAGGGTAAGAGTGATATGATTTATTTTCAAAACCAAAAATGTGTTGCTAAGCGCATAACTCAACAACGCCTGGACCAATTTGGCCAATTTTTGAATTTGAACGTTCGTTGAAGTTCAAAGATGGTTTATACCATATAATTGCCGAAAAACCGCTAAAAACAGCCTTTTTCTTTTCCCATACAAACGAATGAATGTTTGTTTGTTAGTATCGCTAAGAGAACGGCTGCACCAAACTTAATGAAGTTTTCAGAGGTTGTTCGTTGTGAATCGGGGAAGGTTTAGAAATAAAAATACCTCATACTTTTTATGTAAAAAAGTTGGAAAATTGGAATATTCCAAAATGTAACTGTTTTCCATACACATTTTTTTTTTTAACTTTGTTTGCTTTGTTTTTCAATATTTCGATTTGTAAATTATTTGAATCGTTCAATTTCGGTCGCTTGAAAAAAAAATTATTGAAAATTATTCAGTGAAAACTTTATGTGTGTTTCACACAAAGTGATCAATTACAGATTGAAATTTTTTACGCAGCCACGAAGAGCTCGCGCTAATATCGGCCGACCTTATTTATGTCACCAATGTATGGCAGGCCAAGGCAAGGAAAGGCAAGATGCGATGACATACCTGCGGAAGTATGGATCGCGGACAGTTAGCAAGCGATCGTCACAGCACGACGTTTTAAACAACAGCTATGATCTTTGATGGACTTTATCTTGAAGCAACGTATGGTATATATGGTGCTGTTAATATATATGGAGATGTTAATGACTTAACTTGGAAGATTCAAAGTAAAATTCCGGGAGGTTTGTGTTCACACAAATCGATCGATCGTCTTAAAAATGAAGGCAAAGCCGTGAATTTCTAAATTCTTTGGAGAGGCTTGGTATGCCGCAGCATCATTTGCGTGTCAAAGTTGGATCTGTCATTATTATGTTTCACAATCATCATGCGCCGAAACTGTATAATGGAACCCAACTGATTGTGATGCAAGGGGACAGCCATTTCAGTTCAAACGTACTCAGTTTCCAGGGAAAATTGAATTTGCGATGACAATCAACAGGACACAAGGATAGTCGCTAGAAGAGTGTGGCATAAATCTGAAAATGCTATGTTCTTCACACGGCCTGATATATGTACGTGGCATGTTCACGAGTTGGAAACCCATCTTATCTGTATGTACATTTACGCACCAGGAAATAAGCCAAAAAATTGTGTTTATCAATCTGCGCTACATTAAAAAAAAAAAAATTTAGAAAGATCGTAAATAAATTATTTTCATTGCAATATAAATTTAACTTTCTTTTTATTTATAGCGCACATTATTACACGCAGGACAGTGGCAGCGGGGTCAGCTAGTTGTTTAATGAAATTCAAATGTTTTCTGTTTAGTATGAAGTGCAGCCGATACAATTAAGTTCGAAATATAACAACACACAAATGCCTCCATGACTTCTTTTGCGGCAACGATTGTGATGAACTTAATATTTGAGTACATTTTCCACTAAATCAAGTCGCGAATAGCAAGTTCAATATTGACTTATAAAGCTTGAAGAGAATATAGTTTAATCGTAAGGACCGTTGACTTCAAATAACATGAAGTATTATAATGGTGTTAAATCACAACTTCTTCAAAGACATTCAATGTCATAATTTCTTGAAGCAATCGACTACTGCGTAACCCCATCCTCTTGCAACCAGATGTTGTCAAGATCAACTTCTTCCAGCTGCGGTCATAAAAAGTTGGTTTTCATTGATCTATACCGCTCTCCAGTAACGGTATCATGAGATTGATTTCGAAAAAAACACGGACCGATAATTCCACAAAACCAATAGCAATACTAGACATAAAGTGAGTCTAATGGTTATTCATGAATAGTTCGTGGATTTTCTTCACACCATAATAGACAGTTTTATTTATTTACCGCGCCACTCATTGAAAGTAAGCCTCATCGGAGAAGATGATTAAATAAATTGTTATCGTTTTCAAGTTGTTTCAAAATTATTTTGATAATAAAATGACACTTAGAAATCACATCCTCACCATTGAAAAATCCGGAATAAGATATAACATAGATAGATAACGAAATAATGTAATGAAGTAATGATGTTTGTCTTTCCAGTTTACTAGATACTACCTATATAGTATATATCATAGCCATACCCAAATTTTCAAATAGTAATCTTTATATTTGCTCGTTATAATCTGGTTGACTTTGTATGATATCAAAGAGAGTTCAAGAAATTATATATCGGCTAACAGTTTTCGACAAGTGCTCGCTCTGAGAAGTCGTGTTTCGCTCTTTACGCATTGTTGACATTCTGCGCRTYGTAMATTTTCKGATACGTACACGTGTTTACATTTAGAAATCTTCTTGTGTTCTTTCAATCCATAAGTGTATTGCAGATAAGTGCATCAAGTGTGAAGATTTGTTTAATATG